CAAACGTTTAGGAAAAAAATCCTGGACTAACTTTGAATGCAGGAATGGGGTCGTTGACCATTGGTAAGTACGGGAAAATTGCCGTTTACTCCAGGAAAATCCAATTTTTGGCCAAAACGAAGAGTTATTATGACTTTAATCATTTCTGTGCCACTGAGGGCCTGGGGAGATCACAATATTGGTCCATTGTCCTGTACAATTCTTTATTTGAGCATTGACCGAGGCTGGCACACAATTCACCCATAAATGTGCATGTACTGTAACCTCTGTGTTAACGAAATTAAAGGACACGGTTTTAGCTTTAAACATGGTTAATGTCCAAATTAAGGAGCTGAAGAATATGAGAGGCTTAGGTTAATTGGTGAATGATTGGTACATGAGACTATAAATATTGATGTACACAAGGTAACCGTAAAAGCAGAGTACATTTTCTTATTGGTTTTAACACAAGAAATATGGATATATGTGTTAGAAATGTATATTGCCAGAATTATATTTTGTGTGGAATTTCAACACTTTTTCTCATTCAGCAAGGTACTCTGCAGCCAATATACCCCAAACTCTTGGCAAATTATCTGTAAACATGTTTTTGAGTTAGGTTTCTATAATTCTGAGTCATTTTCATAATGACTGAGATGAAGACCACAGTCCGAATAATTCTAGTTGTGTTATGGTAGAAATGAGAAAAGAACAGTTGGAAAATGGGTTATAATAAAATAATAATAGATTGTAATTTTTACATCAGTTTTGGATAAGGTATACACTGTATTATGATGAAAAATGGAAAGAAATTCAGGAAATTATATATATATATATATATATATATATATATATATATATATATATATATATATATATATATATATATATAATTTTTCCTTTTTTTGCAAGCTCACTTCCATTCACATTTGAAGTTTTTAAGTACATAATTAAAAATTTGGATGAAATGATCATTGAAGGCATACTAGTATATAATGCTCATTAGGCCAGTGACAAGTCAAAAAAAGATGAATAAAAGGAATTCCTAGAAATTTCAGCAGTTAAATCACAAGTCGGGAAGGCATTTATTGGTCTTTCTCAGAAAATAATTGAGTGAAAAAAAGGGGAAAAAGACTGCATGGAACAACCATTAAGAATACATGCTGTTTGACATTTGGTGCATCATTTACTCTCTCCAGTTATGAGTGAATAATGACAAATGTCACTCCATTTCATTCTATGTGTATTCATTGCTGGAATAGAGTTCTTTTTATTCAAGGGATACGAGTACAGAGGGAATAAAAAAGAAAATTGATATGAGTTTATTAGTAAAGATGCATGGTTTAGAAAAGTGCCACTGATGGGAAAAACTTCATCCTGGTCTTATTATCAATATACAAAAAAAAAAAAAAAAAAAAATGATACCAAAGTCTCGAAGATTATGGTCTCTGCTGATGGACAAATTTGCTCCACAAACAAACAAACAAACCAGCATGGCAATATACTTGCCAAAATGTTTGTTTTAGTTCTGTTTTTCTGTTAAAAGAGTTTAGATTTAATATTGCATATAGTTTTGAATTTGGGAAGTACGATTTCGAATTCTGAGACCCAACTGTTTGAATGTTGTTTAAGCTGAAAAGATAAATATTCAAGGCATTAGTCTGTTACAATGGAGGATTTACATGCACAGTGCACTGTAGTATTGCTGAACTGTAACAGTAGCTGTCAAGTGACTTAGATTTCCCAAGCCAGTTCCACGTACTGTATTAAAATTAAGTAACTGTGATCCAGCGTTATCATCTGAAAGTCTCACTTTTCAAATAGAATGCCTGTAATATCCAGCTCTGTCATCTTTGATGTTTTCCAATAGTTCATTAAGTCACGTATCCTATCCTCCTTATTTATCAGTATTTTCACTTAAA